GAAGTTTTCTCATCACTCCAACTCTCTTGAGCTTTATTTAATGTTTTTAAGACAGGGTCTCGCTCCGTCACCCAGGTTGGAGTATAATGGCACAATGACAGCTCACTGCTTCAGCTTCCCAGGCTCAACCACCCTCCTGCCTCAGCCTCCTGAGTAGCTGGGACCATAGGTGTTTACCACCACGCCTGGCTAATTTTTAAATTTTTTTGGAGCTAAGGTCTCTCTCGCCCAGGCTGGTCTTGAACTCCTGGGCTCAAGAGCTCCTCCTATCTCAGCCTCTTAAAGTGCTAGGATTATGAGGCATGAGTGGCCAGCCCCCTCCATACTTCATGTGCAGCAATTCACGAGGCTTGTCAGGTTCTGCACGCCAGCAGGACAGAGCTGTGGACACCAAAGTCGTAGCACACTAGTGTGAGTTCCTATTAACCTCAATAGTGTTCTGAAGGTCGCTTAAAAACCAACAACAAACTACAACTTCCGATTCACATGCTACTTTGAGTTGAAAGTTTAATACACTAATTTTTGTCTGGTTTTACCATAATAAAATATGTCTATACATTTTTCTGATTAGTAGTCTAATTTGGAATGCAACTAGGAAGTATGCCAATAAACCTGTCATATCGTGTCCAAAATCGGTTCCTTCCGGGGGGTTCTTGGTCTTGCTGACTTCAAGAATGAAGCCGCAGACCCTCATGGTGAGTGTTACAGCTCTTAAAGATGGTGTGTCCGAAGTTTGCCCCTTCAGCTGTTCAGATATGTCCAGAGTTTTTTCCTTCCTCCCGGTCTCGCTGACTTCAGGAGTAAAGCCACAGACCTCAGCAGTGAGTGTTACAGCTCTCCAAGGTGGCACGTGCACAGCTGTTTATTCCTCCCCGGGGGTTCGTGGTCTTAGCTGACTTCAAGAATAAATCAGCAGACCTTTGCTGTGAGTGTTACAACTCATAAAGGTGGTGCAGACACAAAAAACAAGAAGCAGATTGCAAAGAGCAAAAGAACAAACCCTCCGCTCCCTGAGGGGACCTCAGTGGATTGCTGGGCAGGGGCAGGTGGCCAGCTTTTATTCCCTTATTTGGCTCCACCCACATCCTGCTGATTGGTCCATTTACAGAGCGCTGATTGGTCCATTTTACAGAGTGCTGATTGATCGGTTTTCACAGAGTGCTGATTGGTGCATTTACAAACCTTTAGCTACACACAGAGTGCTGATTGATGTGTTTACAATACTTTAGCTAGACAGAAAAGTTCTCCAAGTCCCCACCAGACCCAGAAGCCCAGCCGGCTTCACCTCTCAATATCCATGCAGGCCTTCATCTCTGTCATCTCTTTCATTTTTGCTTATGTTGATGCAGAGATCCTACATCCAACAATGAGTACAGCAGCAAGACTGCCTCGTGGGGAGCTGTCTGCAGAGCTTGCCAACTGGCCAGAGGCTCCCTTGTGGTGGGCTCCAGGTTTCATGTCACAAACTTGGGTACAAAAAAGGAAACTGTCCCAGCCAAAGGAGAAGGATTTCTTGAGGCCAGGAGTTTGAGACCAGCTTGGGGAACATAGTGAGACACCATCTCTACAAAAATAATAATAATAATAATTAGCCAAGCTTGGTGGTACCTGTAGTCCCAGCTACTTGGGAGGCTGAGACAGGAGGATGGCTTGAGCCCAGGAGTTTGAGGCTGCAGTGCACTATGATCACACCACTGCACTTCAGCCTGGGTGACAGAGATCCTTTCTCTAAAAAAACGAGAGAAGACCGGGCGTGGTGGCTCACGCCTGTAATCCCAGCACTTTGGGAGGCCGAAGCCGGCAGATCACGAGGTCAGGAGATCGAGACCATCCTGGCTAACATGGTGAAACCCCATCTCTACTAAAAACACAGAAAATTAGCTGGGTGTGGTGGTGGGCACCTGTAGTCCCAGCTACTCGGGAGGCTGAGGCTGAGGCAGGAAAATGGCGTGAACCCGGGAGGTGGAGCTTGCAGTGAGTGGAGATTGCGCCACTGCACTCCAGGTTGGGCGACAGACTCCCATCTAAAAAAGAAAAAAAAAAAAGACTATACAAAAAACGAATCTGTCCATTTCTGGGTTTTCTGGTGAATTCTGGATCTCCCCTCAGACTCCTTCCCTGGAGGATGGGTTTACTCAGGCAGGAGCTCCCAGTGGCTTGAGGGGCGGGGCTCTCTTCTATATGGTGTGTGCTTCAGGGGCTGGCACCTACCCTGAGAACTCCTCCACCTCACTTGGGTGTTCGCAGAGCCCTTCTGCAGGGCCTAGTCAGCCCCTGGTCTGCGCTGTGAGGCCTTCCGGGACCTTGGCCCTTAGCCTCAACCTTGCATTTCTCCAGGCAGTGCAGGAACACGCTTGCTGTCCTCCGGTGTCCTTTCAGAGGGCTGAGGAACTCCAGGACCTGCAGTGTGGCGCCGGTGAGGCAGAACTGTGGGATCCTGGTTCAGAAGGACCCATCCTCAGGGTTCCTATCAATACTCACATCTCTTGTTTTCTCGTAAGCCCTCTGCATCTTGCTTTCTAGTTTTAGCGACTATTTTCCTAAAACGTTTCTGTCTTCTGATTGCCTCTGGGTGTACTTGTTTATTTTAAGAATGTTTCATCTTTGTGCCCTGAACTAGCTGTAACCACTCCCTTAGGGACATAGTAGCTTCATCCAGCTGTTGATGCCATAGGAAGTGACCTCATGCTTACTGCCAAGCAATATGATGAAATGATGGGACAGGGTTTGCCAGTTAATCACTTCAAACTGCAATGTAAAGGTATGAAATTAGGAGATTAGTTCATGCTCAGAAAACAGGTGCTGCGCAAATAACTAAGGTTATGATGGCTTTCCAAGGTCTCCAAACTAGGGCACTCACAGTAGCGCACACATACATTTCTCCCATAAGATTTTCCAGTAAACCACGTCATCATCAAATGATTCATACTGATCAAATTTTGAAGAGCAGTTCCATAAAACATGGTAAGATCTACAATGAGTTGACTTTAACTTGGGAAAAGAAAAGCTATTGGAATGCTTCCACCTTGATTGAAATAAACTTGGACTTGCGGCCCAGGCACGGTGGCTCACGCCTGTAATACCAGCACTTTGGGAGGCTGAGGCAGGCAGATCACCTGAGGTCAGGAGTTCAAGACCAACCTGTCCAACACGATGAAACCCCATCTCTACTAAAAATATGAAAATTAGCTGGGCGTGTTAGCAGATGCCTGTAATCCCAGCTACTCAGAAGACTGAGGCAGGAGAATTGCTTGAACCCAGGAGATGGAGGTTGCAGTGAGCTGAGATCCAGCCTGGGGGCAAGAGCGAAACTCCATCTCAAAACAAACAAGCAAACAAACAGACAAAAAATCTTGGGTTTGCAATAAACGGTGGTTCACCCAGTGTTTCACATGAGCATGAGATTCACCTGAGGACATTTGTCCCCAGAAATTGATCAGAGGAACTCTAAATTCTCTGGGCATTTTGTACTCCCCTGAAACAGCAAGCCTTCTGGTAGTGACATTTAGGTTGTGGTGGGCCTAGGTATGGGAGCGGGTACACAGTTGCCTCCCTGGGGCTTATTTGGGCGTTTTTTGTTTGTTTGTTTGTTTGCTTTGTTTTGTTCTTTGGGGTGTTTTTTTTTTTTTTTTTTTTTTTTTGCCATCACAGATCTTGAGCTCTAGAAACACTAGAACTCCTGAGGGTTGGCTCTGGTGCCATTTTGATAGCCCAAGTAAGGTAGAATTTGTTATCAGCCTAGACTAAGTAAAATGATTTTTGGCTTACATGAATTTATTTGATCCCACATCTGTTTGCAGAAGTGCTGTCCCTTTCTGTCCAGTATCCTCATGGCACTTCAGCCTACAGGCATGAGGAAGGAAAATGTGGGCTGCCATTTGGAGGAAGAACTGGAAACCAAACACTCCTTTTGGATCCATTTAGGATGTCTGTGGGTTTGAGCCAATTTCAGACTTGAAAAGCAGGGCGGTTTTTCAAAGACAGTTTGTAGAGGGACCCAGAGAGGAGCCTGGGAGCAGAACATGGTCCATTTGTTCCATTGGAAAATGACATTAGCGTGGTAAGACTTGCTAAGCTCCCTGCACCTCTGCACAGCCAGGGTGCTACTACCCAGGCTTCATGCATCAGGGCTTTGGTTTTGATGGAAGAGTGGGTTCCTGTGTTCTCTGGGTTCTTTGCTGTCCTTAGGATCCTACAGAAGTGTCACATATACTTGTGCTTCCTTTTTGAAAAGATGTGGTGGTTGGTGTCCCTCTCCTCCTCCTAGCTCTGGGCTGCAGTTCTCCTCCCACATCATCCTTGGCCTCTCATCAGGAGTTTGCATCCTTAGGCGACAAGAGAGGGACATTGCTGCAGCCTCAACTCTTCTTCCTCGTGTGGGTGCCCTGCCCTTGGATGTGCTGGGCTGAGCCACCTCTTACTGATGCTGGAGAAGGTTGCTATGGCCCAGTTGGCACCAGGACCCACCTGTTAAGTTGGGCTGCAGGATGATGTGCTGCCATGATTTCCTTTTGCCTTATTTTCTTCTGTCCTCCTTCAGTTTGCTGCACAGCAGCTTGTGTATCCATCAGCTACCCAGCTTCTTCCTGGGCCCCGGGCCTCAGGGAGCCGTGCTGCCTCATTGCTGGGAGAGTGTGCACACAGTGCTTTGGGCACCTGCTCTTTCATTTCCCAGTCTGCTCTTCACAAAGGCTGCCAGAGGGCCTGATCACATCCCCTTACCCCTCCCATCCCACACATGTCAGGCCTTTAGCCCCACACCTTGGGCACCCTGCCTTGCCTCACCTTAACCACTCTTTTTAAATTTTTAAATTTTTTTTATTTTGAGACAATCGCACCCTGTTTCCCAGACTGGAGTGCACTGGTGCAATCTCTGCTCACTGCCACCTCCACCTCCCGGGTTCAAGCGATTCTCCTGCCTCAGCCTCCTGAGTAGCTGGGATTACAAGTTTGTGCCACCACGCCTGGTTATTTATTCATTTATTTATTTTGGTATCTTTAGAAAAGATGGGGTTTCACCATGTTGGCCAGGCTGATCCTGAACTCCTGATCTCGTGATCCAACCACCTCGGCCTCCCAAAGTGCTGAGATTACAGGTGTGAGCTACCGTACCCAGCCACCTTCACCACTCTTGTTCTGAGCCCCAATTTTGCTGGGCTCCTTCGCTGATTTGTGCTCCCTTCCTGGGCCCTTTTTGCTCCCTTTGCGCCCATATACCCCTTTCAGGTCACTAACTCTTATCGTGACCAACCAGGCCAGGCCCTCCGTGGCTCACTCTCCTGGAGAGGCTCATTGGAGCACCCACCACTGTGACAACATCACCTGTTGTGCTGTCTTCGCTGGTCTCAAGCCTCTTTGAGGGCAAGGACCACGTCATGTTTGCTCAGGCCTGAAACTTTCGTGCTTGGCTCTGAGTAGGCCCACAGTAATGCCAGTGTGTTCGATGGGAGAAGGAATGAGCTGTACCTTGCTATCCCAGCATACCCTACCCTACCCAACTCTAGTCCTAAATAGTGGCAGAGATGGATAGATCATAAGCAATTCTAAATCAATTGTACCAGTGTGGTTGCACTACCTGCTTTTAGCAGCTGGAGAAGCACGCTGGAACTGTCCATGGAATGCTCCACTTTGCTAAGATAACCATCAAAAAGGGAAAGTGCAAAGCAGGTATCCCTTCCATAAATCACTGGTTTGTCAACTCACTGTCCAGCCCTACAGTGATTGTTTGACAAAAGCAAAAAGGTTCACAAAAGCCTGATCATGCTTTTTGGCATTATATTATCAGGGCCTTAAAAAATCCTCTTCTCTCATTAAAATATAATAGTTCCTATTAGGAGCATCTCAGACCCAGTAGATACCTAATGCTTGTTTATTGATGGTGGTGATGACAGCATCGTTAGTACAGAGGTAATTGATTTTCACAGTGACAAGCCGGAGGCTCGTTGATGAATGAGCAAATGAGGCCCTGCAAGACACGGAAATGCCTTGTGAATGAAAGCAGTTATTTCAGTGCAGTTTTACTGTTAAGTGCTTTTATTGGATTCAGATTTTAAAAATGAGTAGTTCCTGGAGGGTATACACAACTGTGTGGAACAGCATGTGTGACTGACAACTCGCAGCACCCTTAGAGAAGCTCGGACTTCAGGAGCTCGAGCTTCCGCTGCTGACGCGGCCCTGCTCTCTGTTCTCTGAGGCATGATCAGGCTTTTGTGGATCTTTTGGTTTTTGTCAAACATTCACTGTAGGGCTGGACGGTGAGTTGACAAACCAGTGATTTATGGAATGGATACCTGCTTTGCTCTTTCCCTTTTTGATGGTTATCTTAGCAAAGCAGAGCATTCCAAGGACAGCTCCAGCCTGCTTCTCCAGCTGCTAAAAGCAGGTAGTGCAACTCAGATCCAGATTAAATGTCCATTTATTCAGTCACACTGCTTCCTGGGTGCTTTCTCTGAATGCAAGATTCAGTCCAAACCTCTGGGCACCCTGGTGGCTTGAAGTTCACTGTGCATATTTTTCACATGTGGAAACTAAGACTCAACTCGGGGAGGTTGCAGAACTTCCAAGGTCATGTCCAGTATTCTTATCTGCATGTGCCCAGGCCCACTCCACTCCTTGCAATATTTTGGTCATATCCTGGGGAGGCAAGGCCAGCAAACCTTTTGAAAATATATGGTTGAGAGAAAAAGCAGCCCAGGGCAGGGAAGGTGACTCTGCGATTGCCACACACACAAACAGCATCAGAAAATCCGAAACCAGTCACAAATAAAATGCAGTTGAGCAAATCTTTCTAGGATCTTAATTGTTTATGCAGTAATGGGTGGCATTTGTCTGCTATAATTTGTCAATTGAAAAAGCAAACAGTTTCAATTCAGTAGTGGAAAACTGCATGCAGGAACGAGTGACAGAGTAATCGCTGGAGGAAAATGTTATTGGAAACCATTAAGCAAGAATTTATGAGAAAATGAAAGACAAGCTGTCCTCTCATCCCACGCTGTTGAACTTTCCCTGGAAACTGCAAGCTGCCAATGAGAAGCCAAGTTGAAATGCAAGGCCAGCCAATCAAACAGCTTATCACGTAAAAGGCAAGGTAGGTGAACCAAAGATACTATGGCTGAAAGGGAACAGGGAGGAAGGACTCAGGATGTCTGTGTGCTGAATCTAAACACCTGGCTACCCAGCAAAAATATACCTGCAAGCAGGTATATTTCCTCTAAATATTAGGTCAGAATACAAGTCAAATCCAATTATAAAACACCTCCCTTTTTTCCCCTTCTGCAAAACATATTTCACGATACAAGGCAATAACCCTAGCCGTTATCTGCCACATGATTTAAGAAATAGAGAGGCTTCTAGCGTTCCTCCTTCTCCTTCTCTTCCTCCCTGTCCTCCCTCTGTGCTGTACCTGCTTCCATCCATCTCTTTGTATAACTCCCCCTTCCTTTCTCTTCCCTCCTTCCCTTCCTTCCTCCTGCTCTCCCTCCCTCTGTTCATTCATCTGTCCATCCATTTACCCACCCACTAGTGTACACTGAACGCATATTTTCATTGGCTGTGATGTTCCAGGGACAGTGCTAGGTTCTGGAGGTGCAGTCATTTCTAAGAGCATCATGGTCTCTGTTTCTCATGGAGTTCACAGTCTCAGGTGGGTACAGACACCTGACCAAACCATTACAGTCCTCCCTAATAAGTGCAGGAAGCACCTCCTCTGCAGAGATTTGCAGCACTAATGTGAAGCTCCTAGCTAGTACTACTACTGCTGCGTCTGCTGCTCGTGGCTGTGCTTACATAATGCCTGCGAAGTGCCTCCCTGTTTTAAAGACTTCACGTATAGTAACTTACTTAATCCCGTAATTACCCTGTAAAGTTCATGCTGCTTTTATCCCTTTGCAGAGGAGGAAACTGAGCTGCAGAACGATCAAATGACCTCCCTGAGGTACCCTATCTGTTGGCACATAAGGCCTGAGCACATAGTGGACGCAGGAGCACCCACTTCCTTTTTCCTCCCCTCCGGCTCTTTGCTGTCAGGGGTTCTCTCTTGCCTTCTCTGGTTGTGCCTGTGCTGCGTGCCACACCTTTTCCCTCAATGAATTTCAGGTGTGCACACTCCCTGCAATAAAATACTGTTTACATCAAGGAGCTTGGGCTATGTTGAGAAGTAAATGAAATATCTCCACCGTTGTGGTTCCCCCTAACTCACTGTGTTTTCTTATTCTTGTAAAATCTTCCCTTGCAGGCAGTGGAAGGGGCCGCAGAAGTTCCTTGACTCACGAGGCAAGGCATTCAGAGGCCTCGTGACACCTCCCGGGATCTGCAGTCATTGGGCTGCACTTGCCAATAGCAACATCTGGCAAAAATAGCCAAGCAGCAGAGCGGCCTGGGCTCGGGAGCTGAGCAACCCCTGACTGGCCACATGGAGACTGTGCTGAGCTCTGCCCAAGCCCTGTGATCCTGGAAAACAGTAAAGTGAAGGAGCCATCTGCGTTCTGGGGAATGGCCCACTGCAAAAAATACCCTTCCTCATAGGACGTTGAGGACTCATGATGTCCCCTCATTGATGACGAGCCCAGACACAGCCCTTCCTAATTCCAATTCTTTGCGTCATAAGTGATAGACTGTTTTGTTCCCACTGGTCAATCAGAACAACATTCTTGCTAACCAGACTTCGGTTCAGCTCTTCTCCCTCCCCATGTCCCTGCCCGGTGTCCTATCCTCATCCTGAGCCAGCACACGCCCCTCCTTGGCAGCTCCTCCTGCAGCAGGCTGACCTCAGACTCCCCCTGATCCATTGTCCAAATATATCACCCTTTCACCCTAAGTCCTTACACCCTATTCTTTCTAGTTTTGTTCATTCCTCCCTGTGAAAGATGAACCCTCTTTTCCTAACCCCAGACCTGCTTGCAGACCTGCTATGATGGCCAAGTGTCCCCGCTACTGCAAGAGTCCCTTCTCTCCCTTGCGATATCTTTTAAATAAAATCCCTCCTTACCAAGCCTGGATTTGTGTTTTATTTAACTAGAGAGATCCCAGCTGGAAGCTCCTGCATTAATAATGTGGGAACCTGTTCGTGAGAACTGAAGAGCTTGTCTCTAGTCAGAGCTGCTGTTGCTGGGGTCAGAGGAGTGGAAGTCCTGAGTACTGGTGGGTAGGATTTAAGAAAGAAGAGAAAGAGGGAGAAAGGGAGAGAGGGAGAGAGAGAAGAAAGAAGAAAGAAAAAGAGAAAGAAAAAAGAAAAAGAAAGAAGAGAAAAGGAAAATAAGGAAAGAAGAGAAAAGCAAAATAAAGAAGGAAAGAAGAGAAAAGGCAGATTCTGAGAAACTATGGCTTATATTCCAAATGAAGTTCTGAGATCTCTAATGTGGAGAGTTTCATAGAATCAATCCTTTTCTCCAACTTTATTGAGATGGTTTAATGAGAGTCCTTTCCTACTGGGACCCTGAGAAATGCATCCTATGACCGCAGTCACGAAGCCTGGAGGGATTCACAGCCCCACATTTCTTTCTTTTTCTTTTCTTTTTTCTTTCTTTTTTTTTTTTCAGGTGGAGCCTAGGTCTGTGGCCCAGGCTGAAGTGCAGTGGAGGGATCTCGGCTCACTGCAACCTCCACCTCCCAGGTTCAAGCAATTCTCCTGTCTTAGCCTCCCGAGTAGCTGGGACTACAGGCTTGTGCCACCACGCCCAGAGGTTTTTTGTGTTTTTTAGTAGAGACAGGGTTTTGCCATGTTCGACAGGCTGGTGTCGAACTCCTAACCTCGGGTGATCTGCCCGCCTCGGCCTCCCAAAGTGCTGGGATTACAGACGTGAACCACCACACCTAGCTGAAGCCCCACATTTCTCAGGGACAGAGGTCCCTCTCCACACCTGTACTTCCACTAGGCTCCCCACCTCCACTGAGTCCTCATCGCTCTCACCCACACAAGTTTCTCTGATACCTACCCCTGCCCCAGAGCTTCAGAGCAGGGCCCATGGTTCAGCTACAGAAACACTAGTATACTGCTGGGCACACAGGGAGGATGGGGGAAAAGTGCCTGGGAATTGGTCACTTTTCTAAATAACCAAATCAGCGTTCCTGATACAACTGTTGTTGTCTATAGATAATGCTGTGCATTCGCTCATTTAAAAAAATTAATTCATTCACTTAACAGACATTTACTGGCCACCTCTATGTTCTAGGTGAGCATAGGGATGATTCACTCAGTTGAGAGGAGAGAGCTCCCATCCCATGGGACCCCCATGGCCAGTGTGGATACAATGCTATGGGAGCCCAGAGGATAAAGGAATTAAATTTTCTTTGGAAAGTCCATACATTCATCAAAGAAGGGGTGACACTGGTGACACTTACATGAGCGGTGAACACTGGGCAGAGAGAGAGAGAGGGAGAGAGAGAACACTTCCCTAGAAGGAGGAAAGAATGATGGAGAAGAGTGGAGGTCGGCACCAGCTGGAGAGAAGAATGTCTCGGGCTCCAAGCGGCTGCAGGGAGGAAATCGGGGTGTGGTGGGGGTGCAAGGAATGAGATGGGTGATGGGGCAGAGTGAGGCTGCAGCCTTTGTCTTGGGTCTGAGGGTCACCTAAGACTCTAAGAAGGAGCCCTGCTGCCTCCACTCTGGGTTTTAGGATCACAAGTCTGGCCACAGTATAGAGTAGGCTATCGGAGGCCACTTGGAGGCTGAGCAGATGACCATGAAGCTGCCAGACTGGGCAGACTGGGTAGACTGGCCTCGATCTTCTGGAATGGACGTGGAGATCCAGGGCAGAGGGCAGTACGCAGGGGCAGAGCCCATCCACCTCACCACAGCCCGCTCTCTGCCCAACCTTCACAGACTCCTCTCAAGGTGTTAGCTCGGCTGCTGGGGCAAGAGTGGCTTCATTAACCAAGACAGAAGCCGAAAGGAAGTCCAGATGTGTGGGGGACGAGTATGAGCATGTCTTTGATGCACCAAACATGAGTTGCTTCCGAGATGCCAGGGCCAGGTGTTTACAGCGGCAGCAGATGAGGAATGAGTGCCGCCTCGAAGTCAGTGAGAGGAAATTGTGAGGGGGGTAAGATTTGGCTTGATATTGAGGTGAGGAGAAGTCGGGTTTAGAAACTTTTATTTACATTCAGTAAGAAGAAATGGATGTGTTTACATTTCATGTTAGTATTTTTCCTCTGTTTCTTCTGCTTGGAGTACCAATGAATAAATGAGTGCCCTGAAGAAAGGGGATAAAGTCAGTAGGAATTTATGAGTTAAACAGTCAGCACCAAAACAACAGTGGTGGACTAAATGGAAGTGCTGGATGATAGGCTATGGAAAGATAAAAACTTAACTGCTCTAGCTCTCTGTAAATGTGCTTTCTGAGGTCTAGAATTTGGAATAAAAACCTTCATTCATTATCCATTATTGATGGAGAAAAGGGATGGAGATTTATGAGAAGTACCAGGAAGATATTAATGTACAATGAAGAAGCTGTATTTATAATATACTCCAGTTATTATACATCCAGAAGCTGCCATTACAGTGTATTTCATTACCCTCTAATTGTGATACTTCCTTTACCTTCTCAAGTACCCGTGAACTTTCTCATATATAATACATTTAATTAAGTTAATAGCTATACCTTCTACGTCATTTAAAAAATGATAGCTCAGGTGAAGTAAATAGAGGAAAAGAAACGCATTGCCTGACTTGCTCAAATATGCAGGGCAGCTTAACGAGTGGTGAGTGACAGCACAGGAATCTTGATCACCAACACTGCTTCCCGAGCTCCCGGCTGTGGGAAGTGTTATGCACAGTGTATGTAAACCAATCTGAAGGTGGAAGGCTTTCTCTACCTCTACTTCAAATGAGACTACAACCTTCAATACTTATTTGTTGTCCCAAATTTTCGTTCTGATGTGAATGAAACTTAAAAACTAATTGGTATGATTAAAATTGATGTGTATTGTAAACAAGATAAGGATAATTTATCTACAAAGACTTATGTGATCTCAAATAATCCTTCCTGTTCCCTAACTTTCTATTCTTAAGCGCCTCTGGTGTTTTGTGAGAAAATAACCTGTAAGTATAAGCCATTAATGTGTCTTTGATTACAAACAATTTATTGCACACCTACCATCATGATACAATCATCGAAAGCATTAGAATCATGAAAGTGTGTTTATCAGAGGCATAGTCTTGGCGTTAGCAGGTCTCAGCCTCCCGAGTAGCTGGGACTACAGGCGCGCCCCACTACGTCCGGCTAATTTGTTTTGTATTTTAATAGAGACACGAATTCACCATGTTGGCCAGGATGGTCTTGATCTCCTGATCTCGTGATCCGCCTGCCTTGGCGTCCCAAAGTGCTGGGGTTACAGGTGTGAGTCACTGCACCTGGCCCACTGTTTTCTTATTTTAAGAAATTGCCACAGCCATCTCAACCTTCAGCAACCACCACCGAGATCAGTCAGCAACCATCAACATCAAGGCAAGACCCTCCACCAGCAAAAAAATTATGGCTCACTGAAGGCTCGGGTGATTATTAGCATTTTTTAGTAGTAAAGTGTTTTCTTGTTAAGATATGTGTATTGTTTATATTACACATAATTTCATTTTACACTGATATGGTTTGGCTGTGTCTCCACCAAAATCTCATCTTGAATTGTAATTCCCCTTAATCCCCATGTATCACGGGAGGGACCTGGCGGGAGGTAATTGAATCATGGGGGTGGTTCTCATGATAGTGAGCAAGTTCTCATGAGATCTGAAGATTTTGTAAGCACCTGGCATGTCCCCTGCTGGCACTCATTCTCTCTCCTGCCACCCTGTGAAGAGATGCCTTCTGCCATGATTGTAAGTTTCCTGAGGTCTCCCCAGCCATGCAGAACTGTGAGTCAATTAAACCTCTTTTCTTTATAAATTATCCAATGTCGGGTATTTCTTCACAGCAGCTTGAGAACGGACTAATACACACATAATAATACATAGTAGATTGTGTAGTGTAAACATTACTTTTATATGCACTCAAAAATTTAAAAATGTGTGCGACTGGCTTTATTGGGAATATTTGTTTACTGTGGTGCTGGAACTGAATCTGCAGTGTCTCTATGGTGTGCCTGTAGTCATCATGCTAGCTATGCATCTTGGTACAATCTAACACAAGGGTGGCACGTGGTAAGGCAGGAGAACAGCATATTTTCAGATGCATTACTTAATGTGATACTCATAAGAAGCCCGGGAGTGACCTGTGTCTCCCTAGAGCAGATGGGGAATGGAGCAGCGTATCGCCTATGCTCTCTGTCACCTTTAGCCTGGTGTTGTTGCTTAATGAACGCCTGGTCGGTGGTTCACCTTTACTCAACCACAGTGTTTTTCCAAGAGAAACAAGCATGAAAACATCACAGAGAGTTAATTGAGAGACAACAGTACTTTTAATCTATTACATTGATATTGTAATTCAAATGATAAAAATGTACTTCCCCTTGTTTCCAATGTAAGTAGTTTTAAATATTGTATAAATCAAAACAAAAACAAAAACAAAAAAACAAATAAACAAAAAAAACTTTCATGGCTAAGATTCCAGAATGTTTGTGCATGCTTTGTGACATTTCTTTTGCTTCTCTCTGTGCTGTCCACTGGCCTCAAAATCGGTTGGTCGTTCTTTATTTCTCATATGTCTCAGGCTGTCTTTGGGTGCTCTTTGTTTCTGCATCAGAGCACACAGCAGATGAGGGTAGGTGCTCCCGCTCCCCTCTTTTGGTGCAGTAGTTGTAATCACCCAACCTCCATGTGTTGGAGCCTGAACACACAGATCCCTTCATCACCTTCTAAACAATCAGACTTCACATACAGGGAGTGCTCAAGGTCACTGGGTGCGTCCAACCGCTGAGTCTTATCTGAGCTCAGACCTGCATATGCTCATTTTACATTTTATTGTAATTGTGCAGTATAATGCAATAGTACATAAGCCCTCAAAAAACACATGTGAAGAGAGAGTTGTTTCTGTGAAAAATTAGTTGAATCCTTTTGAAAAA